CGGCCCACGCTGCGCCTGGGCTGGGACTGGTCCCGCCGGCGCAGGGTAGCAGGAAGCTCTCCACACACTCACCGGACCTGGGCTAGGACTGGGTCTTGAAAGATTTCATGCTCTACCTTTTCTCAGTTTACAACATACTGTGTTTGCCAAGAGCCGCAAGACTATTGCCTAGTTGAGGTTTCTCTTACAATAGTACCACTGCTGACAAACAGGTTAGGTGCTGGGAAAGTCATGCCTGAATAGAGCCTACTTTGGCAGTCTTCCTGCTTCAGCTCCTGCGCACTGGGATTACAGATGTGTGCTACCATGCCTAGCAAATGCACAGATTATAGACTTGAAACTTTTAGCTGTGTTTTGTAAAGATGTTATACCTTTCTCCTGTGTTCCATGTTCCCTCTGGGAACAGTGAGAGGATGAAAGTGTATAAATTTCTTAGAGATCATGTGTTAGAGGAAGAGCAAAGAGGAAGGGTTCCTCTATTGAATCTAGAACAGGATCAGCTTTAAGTCAGGGATTGATAAAAGGAAGAGCAGGGAATTCTGAGATGGTCACAAATAAGAAATGTGGAAATGGAGCTACAATAGCAGTAATTTACTTTCTCTTTTGCATCTCAATCAAGCAAAAGCTTTTCTTGGGCACAGATGGGAAAGGAGGTAGAATATGGTCCTGAAGCAGTCTGCAGCCTCTGCCCTCAGTAGCACCCTGTCTTAGTGGGTCCAAAGAGGGCACTTCTTAAGTGATTTAATCGGTGCTGCCATAACAGCACTTGCTTCCTGAAAAGGGGAAACAAATGTCTCAGCTTCATGATGTCTAATTTCAGTAGCCTTTTTCAGCCTATTCTTTTTTGGTTTTTTTTTTAAATAGGGTCTTGCTATATGGTTCTTGCTGGTTTTGTACTCACTGTGTAGGCCATACTGGCGTCAACCTCATGGTGATCCTCCTGCTTCAACCTCTTAAGTGCTAGGATTACAGAACTGTCATTAGTTACAACATAAGTCCATGATCTGTGTGCATGCTTTTCTTTTTCTTTTTTCGTTCTTTTTTTTTTTTTTCTTCCAGTACTGGGATTGAACCAAGATCTTCACTACATCCAGCTGTGTGTGTGTGGTGTATGTGAGTGATAGGGTCTTTCTAAGTCACTAAATTCCCCAGGCTGGGCTTGAATTTGAAATCCTGTTTTAGTTTCTCAGAGTGCTGGGATTACAGGTGTGCATCCATGTGTGTGTCCGTCTTTCCTCTCTCTTACTTTCATTTTTACAAATTTGTTTTGAGAACAGTCATGTAGTCAGGGCTGGCCTTGAACTCACTGTGTAGCCCAGACTGTTCTCAAATTCATGGCAATCCACCTACCTCAGCCTCCTGACTGCTAGGATTATAGGTGTGTACCTCCACACCTGGCTCATTTAAAATTTTTGAAAGATATTTATTAGTCCATGTTTGCAGTACATAATGATTTTAGTCCTCATGGAGAGTTGGCACATGTACACATTATATCTCAGTTATTTTTATTTTCCCTCATGTTCTCCTACCTCCCTCCTCTCCTCATTGCTTTTCTCTTTTGGATTAACAATTGTTGAGGTCTATTTAATGGAATAACTGAAGCCATGTTAGCAAATCTTTTCATTTAAGATATAGAAATAGCTTTACTTAGAAGGAAAATTTAATTGCAGGTGTTTATTTGTTTGTTTGTTTGTTTGTTTGTTTCCTAAAGAACTAGTAGAGGGCTGGAGAGATGGCTCAGTGGTCTAAAGCACCTACTTGGAACTAGCTTGGCAAAGCATCAGGGACCGCGGTTCAATCCCCCAGCACCACATGCCAGCCAGCCCCGCCCCCTGGTGGGCTGAGCT